TACGGAAGTAGGATTGCCCAACCTTCCTTCTGAGGAGTGGCTGGTGGGTTTGAACCACCAGCCGTCTGGTTAGCAGGCAAGTGTCTTAGTCGCTATGTTACCAGAGCTCGCGTCCAACCCCATAAACACCTTATTTGCATAGTTCCACCCAATTATTCTGTGGGTGTTTTGGTTACCTAGTGCCGCTCTGACAGGAATATACCACCAATGGAATGGCTTTAACAAACAGGAGTTAATTCTCTTACAGTTTGAGAGGCTTTAAGTCCGAGTTCGAGTTCACAGTGCCAGGCTCTAGGGGCTGGGTGGCAGCCCCTCCACCTTGGGCCTCAAATCTGCCTCCTGCTCCCAGCCCACTGGAGCTAGCAGCTGCTAGATAGCTGCTCGCAGCTGAGGCTGACAAACCCAAAGGTGACAAGTTTGGTAACAAGGCACAATCCCAATGTTACCAAACAACACAGCAGGCCACTGATTGAAGTCCATTGAAAGTCCCAAGGTTGGCAGAGCATGGCAGGCTGCTGAACAATGACATGGCTACATGCAGTGTTCAAGTGTGCCATCAGCTCAAGACCGTTCCCCCAAGGCTTCTCCTTATATACAGGAAGCAGATCACATCCCAAAGGCAGCTACTCAACTGCTCAGAGTAGATTCCACCATGGAGTTGATTACCAGTCTCATCATGGGGAATACTACATCCAGATGCCCAGCCACTCAACCTGGCCCAGCCAAGTTGACACATAAACTGGACTACCACAGTGGGAGGCCCAAGACCATGCATGGCTAAAAGGGCAATATTAAGTAATGCACTGCACAAAGGAACCCTGACCCTGTTTTGCCTGATGTTGAAATCAGAGTCTAAGTGTATTTCTCTCCAGCTCCTACATTTCCAAATACGTACTTTCCAGATTAACTGAGCTGGTCTTTTACAGGCCTCTACATATCTGTTAGGAAACAAAGGAAAGCATAAAGCAAAAGTCACCTGTGTCTTCCTCATCTTCTTTTATCTTGGAAAACGGCCAGGAACAGGGAGTTCTGTCTTGGTAGCGTCTGGATCAGCTCTAAATGTCTATTCAGAGACCTCAGTCTCTGGTGAAGGACGTCTTTAGAAATGACAATATCCAAACCCTGGCGCCTTTTCTTCCTGCAAGTGATTCTTCTGCTGCTAGGGAGTCAGGACCTATAGGCTGAAGGGGAAATTCAACTTGAATA